AAATTATGATTTTAAAGCAAATATATCTATTTGTCACCAGAATTGATCCCGATAGACGACTACTACTACGGCAGACAAGAAGGTGCTGCAGAATACGTTGAAGAGAAAGCCGATTACCGGTTTAAGTGCGCTGTTTGCCAACGTATCTTCTTCTCAAACGTCAAGCTGATGCACCACATAATGGGACATGTGGATGAAAGCATCCAGCCCCTGCTTAATTTTGCCGGTCTCAACCAGTGTCGCGTCTGTAGTCTCGTTTTTGCGAACGCCTTCGAATTAAGAGCCCACACTGAGAAAGTGAGTTTATCGACCTCATTTTTTTAAATTTTCGCCAAAGTACTCTGTGCCAGTCCATCAATCACCTTGATTTAGAAGAGGAACCGATAGATTTCGAAGTTAAATTTATTGTTATTTAGCATGAATCCCCAACCCCGTGTTTTGACTCCAAGTGAGAGTGTATTTTATTTTGCTTGCCATTGCCGGTGACTCCTTTTCATCTGAATACTTGTTCTACCTTTCTCCCGTTGGTGGATCATTAGTGTTCGAAAACATGCTCTTTTAGGATCACCGAACAGGTAGCCGACCGGTCTTGGACTGTTATATTTATAAATCCTGATCGGTAGCAGTGTAGTTTCAGGCTACTGCGACTGCAGGTCTCTTCCGAAAAACAACCGGGAAGCATAGGAGGCAGATGTGTTCGTTGGGGCGAGAATTTTATTCGCCTGACGTTTCGAAATCCGTCGCGGATCCATCATCAGAGACAACAGCAGAAAATCGTTTCTACTGGGTGTATTTTTGCAAATGTCCCATCCAAAAGTTGTTTGTCGGGCTCAGACTTCTGCAAAATGCCATAAAGCAGCCTCAACTAACCCTAGCCCCCTTTTTCGGCCAATAATACGAAAGGAAACTCGGTCCTGCCGGACTGTGATCGCAAGGGCTCATCAGCATGTTGATTTAGCTCTCAATCACTCCTTAAGACCAACGACCCGTACTAGTGTGTGTGCATCTGCCTTTTCGCTTGCCTCTCACCTTGTGACCGTCCACAACACACCTTGAATACGCTCAATTTATTACGCTTTCCATGGCTGCCGTTTGAACTCAAGTTAAAATGATTAAAATCCATGCCCTGGATGATTACAGAATTGCGGTGCTAGCTGTCCGAAATGATGATAAAGTAGGCTTCGACGAATGGTGCTGGTGTTGTTCGACTACAAGACCCTATTTTCCTATTTAGTGGACATGACGAGGCGGTGAATATAAAATTAACGTGTCAAGCCCTGTGTTTGCGAGGCGCCGCCTGTGTCACGGAACCAATAAATATCATAACTGTATTATCATTCATTTTGTGATATGCTCAACTGCTTTTTCCTGTTAACCTCCACTAGGCGCACCCAGGTGTTAATCACGCTGACCCCATGAATACAGGAAAATCAGACTGCGATTCGCAGCAGACTGCCTCTCAACTTATGCAGCAGCAGCAGCGTCTCGGTCTGCTTGATCCTAGTGCTCAGACTGGTGAAGCTGGTGATAGTGCCATGCAGGGAGCTTTCAGCGCCTTTTCTTGTCGCATCTGCGGTAAAGAGGCGACCAGTGATTTGGCCCTAGCTCATCATCTTCAGTCAACTCACCGTCAACGCGAAATGCCCTATGTCTGCCGCCTGTGTCTATTCCGCTCGTCGTTGTTTGAAGACCTATTGGATCACTTCAAGAAGGTATGGATCACTGCCTTTATCTCCACTGTTTATGTATTCCACTCTCAAGACTCCTAGTATTTTTTTCTCTGTGTTACTTTGGAACATGACTGATTATTTTCATGCCTTCCCTTTCCATTCTCTAGGATGATATCTTCTTTTTTAACTGGTAATTTTAACGCAAGGGGCAAACTCGGCTTCATTATGTGATACAATAGTGGATGCTAGATGCCATGCATTTTTTTTCATGCGCTTTTGTAGCATGTATTCAGCCTTGGGGTTAGTAGGATCCAGCGCCTTGTAATCGAAACCTGATTTCCTGCAATCCTTACCTACTTTAAACCCCTTCCCAAAATATTGAAATTCTCTTCCAGCGTCCACCCTAGCCCTGAACCTATTACACTCTCTTGCTTTGTAATCAGTCCAAACAGAAATTTACGTCGTTAGTTAATTCACCAGAATACGTAGTCGGCTTTTTTGGAGCTATGATGTGCATTGCCTCATCAAGCGATCCGTTCCTCCATTGTTAGTAGGCTCTCACCTTTTGGCCGCTGTATTTGCTCTTGGTCGCAGTTGTCAAAATTTCGAATTGTTGCGGGTAGACCTCACGTAATGGTTATGTTTCGTAATCGTGGGGTCGGATAGTCCTCCTAGTCTCACGGTTCGGCCACCGGAACAACTTCACTTCATTTAAATTGAATGAAGTCCCTGCTTTCCTTTGCCTTTCCTTGGCTGGAGATAGTATAGAGGAACCGGTGTTACACAAACATGCGTTACTGGAGTCGGACGATAAGGCCAAATAAAGAAAATAATTAGTATTAAGGGAGCTGTCAAGCGACTCCACTTTTGGCGACTATGCCAACTGCCTGCCATAAATCGATGGAGCGCACTTTCTCAGCGCTTGTATACCTGTGTTTTCGGCGTGCTTTCTAGTAAATACAGTGGTCGCCAGTTATTAAGCCCACGGTTAATAGGCTCAGCCGCATATTAAGCCCAAATCAGCTTGGGACGGAATTTTACATAGCAAAA